ATGAAATCTATGAAATCTATAATGCATGATCCTACAATCACACCTCCTGTGGGCGTGATTTTGCAAGTCACACATTGGATTCCATTGTGCCTTTACCTGCATGTGTAAAGGGGACCTAAGGAAAAGAAAGTAAGTTAGTCTTTAGTGAGATTTGACATGGAGACAAGGCTGAAGGACTGGCTCTGTGAAAGCATTTGAAGGAGTTGCTCCCTTCCAGATCCAGGGAAAAGCAGACATGCATACAAAGGCTGATTTATTATTTTTAAGTTGTACTTTTTCTGAAATGCTTTCTGTGATAAATTGAAAAAAAACCTTTGCTTTTAAAGAAGTTGTCTCTTCACTGACTACCATTGTCATTGCTTGTCAGGGAATAAAAGCGCAGGGTCCAAGCCAAGGTTAGATCTGCTGAGGTAATTGGAGTAGAAAGACAAGGGACTGTAGCCAAGGCCTAGTCTGGGAGCAAGAACCCCGTGATTCCACCTTGAGCCAAGTGACAGCTGGAGGCCAGAGGTCTGCTGGGGAGGGGACAGTGGCAGGGTACACTTCCAGAGGCCAGGATGGTCTGAAGTGCAGTTATCCTGGTAATGGTGATAGTTGCTTTCTGTATAATAGATTTGTTAGTGTACACTAATTTTGAATACCTGTTTTTTAAGATGTATCAAGTATAAAGCTGAATTTGGAAACATTTGGGGAATTTGAAAAACTTAAATAGGGATTATAGATCAGTTTATTCTACCATGCAGCAGCATTATAGACAGCACTATGTAAGTGAGAGATCTACTTGAGGTGTGCAGTTCAATCATTGTACATCTGATGTATAAGGCAGAAATGGCACTCATTTTATTTATTTTTTTAATAGGAACAAGAATCTGACCTGGAACCACCAAAAGGCCCTGAACCTAAACAAGGACTGTATGAACTCTCAGCAGGCAACTTCAAGATGCATGTAGCAGAAGGTAATTTAATTGATTTTCTGTAGCTGTAACCAAGGTAGGCTTTCACTTAGAAAAGTCTCCAACAGGGAGATTAGTTTTTAAATGCAGGTTCTCCCATCTTTTCACCCCAAATCTATAAGAAGTTAAAAGACAGCACTACATATTGCTTACAAAACTGATCACTTTTATTATAGCACGTGCAACTACGTTAAAAGAATGGGTTCAGATGACAAAGTGAAGCAGTCAAAATGCTAGAAATTGTCAAGGCTCTGCTCCCTGGCCCCCTTGCTCAGTCTGCACTTTTTCCTCTCCTAGTTGCCTTCTGATTTGATTCCATTTTTCTGCAAACTGATTCCTATGGGGCTCCTCATTCACCCTTATTTTTTCAGCTCCGCCTTATATTTTTTCCCCAACCAGTCAGTCTCCCTATGCACCCCAGTTCCTTGTCAGTTCTGTCTCTCCACCCTCTCCCTTTTTGATTCATTAATCTAGGTTTCTAGTCCTACTCCAGTTTTCTCACCTCTTCATCTGATCTCAGCCTCTCCATCCTGTATCTTCCACAAGCTCACGGGGCTAGATATCAGTCACTCTTCTCCCTGTGTACACACACAGTTCCCCTCAATCTGCCCTACCAAACCACTGATTCCAAAATCCCATATTTACTTTCATACTCTGTGTACCTTTCTCCCCCCCCAAAAGCAGCCCTAAAAAATTAAGGTGCATGTCTTAAGCGGGGAAACTGATTTTCAGTGCTGGAATGGAAGCATGGAGATGTTGTAAATTGGCTGTTGTGCTTCTTCCCCTGCTGGCCTTAGTGAGGGTGGGGGTGGAGTTCACTCTTCAGGGTTCAGGCTACAGTGTTAACTCCTTCGCAGCTGTTGCAGAATTGGCAGTAGCTTTTGGCTGAGTAGTCAACAGCTACTGTCAATTCATTGATGCTTGTGCAAGAGTTCACA